TGTTGTTGAAGTTGATGTTATTGAAGTTAATGTGGTTGATGTGGTTGATGTGGTTGTTGTTGATGTTGATGTTGTTGATGTTGTTGAAGCTGTTGTGGTTGTTGTTGATGTTGATGTTGTTGTGGTTGACGTTGTTGACGTAGCTAGATTATAAGCAAGTGTCATTTGAACATAAAAGAATAAAAACCTCTCTTCTCAAATACAAAATTATCCCACACAATAGAAAGAGAAATACGCTATATTGGTAAACTTGTCATTGAAAGTGATAAGTCTGATAGTGAATGTTAATAAAGGGTGATAATTGTAGGCACTGTGAATATTAACGTAAAAAGAGGAGTGATCGTATGATGATTTTAAATGACTTTTGATTTTTTTTTGAATTGGAAACTTTGTACATTAATCACGAAAAGCAATCGGATACAAAGTGTCACCTAAATTCAGACCAACAAGAATGAATATTTCTTCGATCATCTTATCGCACTATTGAGAAGTATAAACAGTAGGTTGAAATGTACAAAAGTCATTTAATACACAAGTCATGTCCATCAATGTAGTGAAGTATTGTAAAACAAATAACTAGAACTGGTAATCTCATCTGACATGCTTATTGATGTAAGAACCAGAAGCCGGATAGATTCTCTCACAATCTTTCAAACTTATAGAATCTGAAATAAAAGCTACTCTAAATTTTACAACTGTAGAATTGCTTTAAAAAATAAGAAATAAAGACATAGCCTGATCTGGCAGAAACATTTGTGGACATGTTAGTTGTTAAATTTTTCGTGACGAAGAAATGAATACACATTTTATTAAAGGTAGAAAAACTAGTGTTATGTCGTATACAACGTGAGTGGTACTCCATTCTTATGGACAGTTCTAGGTCGTGTTTCTTATATTGATTTCAATTCATGTTGTAAGCTTATCAAAAAACTAAAGTATCAGATGCACCAAGAGGCTTTTCTTGAAACAAATTTCTTCGGTTTCAGCTATGCATCAAGTGAAATATTGAATTAGTAAATCAATTGAAAAGTTCTACTCAAAGTCACAGTTGTCTCGAAGAAGTACAGAAATTTTTCTAATGAGAACGATTTCATAGGAAAATATGTTGTTTGATTATGATAAGGATGATAGCATTGTCTAACGTTGTGAGTGGAATTTGTATAAAACGTGAAGATTGATGTAGGTTTAGAATCTTTAACGTGCACAATGACTATAAGAATTTTTTTTGAAAAACAAAGCACTTATCACAAGAAGCCAGTCGCCAAGAAAAATTGATGACCAATCGGTCTAATGCACAGCATGACGATGTAAAATAAATTCATTCATTCTTTAATTAAGAGTTACGTGAATGAACTATCTTCAGAAACAAAGTTAGGTTTGCCTCTACTTTACATGCAATTACCCTACCTCATAAATCGTGACTTAACACGCGTTGAGCTACGTGAATATCCATACACTTGATCTTGATAATAAAGAATAGCTTGAAATTTGGGGCATATCATATCACAAATTTTCGTATGAACAATGAATTATAAGATGTAGAATGGAGGAAAACTAAACTTGAATAATGCTAGAAGACACTCTGTTTGAAATAAAAAGTAGTCTATTAAATGATTATTGTGTATATTTGAGAGTACAGTGTCAAATTAGAAACAATTTTATATGTTAAGTCCTATCGTCTTCAATGCTTGAGTTATTAAAACTTCGAAACAGTCACAATTACATCACGACGCAGAAAAAAATATATATTAGTTTAGTATTTTTTTTTGGATACGAAAAGATAATAAAACAAGATCTGTAATGTTTCAATCATAGAGTCTTAAGTTTTAAGAATTTCTAAGACATAATGAATGTAATTGAACTGTATCAATATTCCTTACGGTAGCAATAGACTAATTCATATATAATGACAACCTTGTTTTATGAAGCAAAATTTTTCCTTGGTAACGGAGAGTTTCCCTACTTGTTGTGCTTCTCGTTATCGTATTGGTTGTGGTCGGTATTGATGTAGTTGTTGTCGTCGATATTGATGCACTTGTAGAACGATCTAGCTTTGATTGAGATCGAATAAAAGTTCATATATAATTAGAAATACAAACTTAACAGTAAAGCCAGTAGTATCCCAGCGACCATCGCTAGCAGAAGTAACAAAACAATTGCCAAGCAAAACAAACAGCATGGTGGACAAAAGATAGCTCGACTGAAATAAATAAGAGAGAGAAACATTACTAATTAAATTCCTAAAGCTTCATCATCATCTGATAATTCTATGGAGGATAGTCGAAAGTGAATAGCATAAAACATTCATCATGAAATACCTCCGTTTTTCTGACCACACTGACGCGTACTGGAGGAGTCAACATTCATCTTGCTTTCTTCAAAGTGGGCATTTTCTTTTTGTTTCTTGAAATGCAGATACAAAATGCGTTTTCATACGTGAAACAATGAGAAAGCATGTCATTGGATAGATATATACATAGTTTCTCAGGTGCATTGTTTCTCGAGCATAGAAACAACGGTATTACAAGTCACTCAGTTCGGTATTGATCTAAGATTTGAAACAAATTAAATGGTAGATTTTTTTGTCTACTATACAGTTTGATGGAAAAATGAAATTATATAGAAAATTTCATCAAACGATAGCATCTAAAAAGAACAATTGAATTACGGCCAATGCATTCTTTTGCACATTATTTTTTTGTTGAAATTGTATGAAGTCAAAAAAAACTGCAACAATAGTTTCACTGGAACTGAAAGTGTAAAAAAATCATTTATATAAATATTTAAAGATTTATACCATATGATCAAATGAGTTAAATAGAATTTTTTATGGTTATAATTGGCATAATGCTAATATCTATGAATATTTTGACAGCGCAAGCATTTATGTTATGCACCTCTGCGTATGTTGTTCATGCGTTTGCTAAAAAAAAATCCGTGCGTTCCTTAAAAACTGATTTGATGCACCATATAGGTAATGTATTATTGTACTTTGTAAGAAAAATCAGAATTGCAATGGATCGAGCAGACAGAAGAAGTAACGACAGCTGTCGGTTTAGCACCGTTCGGTTGTCAAATAAACGTTACTGTTAAAAAGAAGTAGACTATGATAGAAAAAATAAATAGCCACATAGGAAATCGGATTGAAATATTCTGATACAAGAGAAGCTCTTTCTTTTTGTATTGATAAATATCTTGTCTGAGATGTAAATCCTGATAGTTGAGTCGAGTTTCTCACTTTAAGTGTATAGTGTATTGAAATTGACATCATCTCCTGCTGATCTTCTTTTCCGCTTTTCTCTTTATAGTCTTTGTTTCGTTTTTTTCCTGCACTCATGTCTGTACCATGTATGCATGTGTAGTATATGAAGTAGTAACGTTCTGGAGATATGAACCAGCTCAATAAACATCATTACCGAGGGAGGTGACAGGCTACGCCTCCAGCTTGTCTCTACACATAAGAGTTTCGCTGATATTTTCTTCTTGTATACATGTTTCACATGTATGCGATATGGTATTACAACGTTCATTTCTTGCTAAAATAGTACTCATTTCTTGTAAACCTACTTTCGGTGCTTCTTTTTTTCTTCTGGCAGTGCGTCACTATCGTTCCATCTGCTTCTAGTCCATGGAAAGACTCTATTTTGATTGGTGTTTACCCGAGTACTTGATGTAGCCTGTAAATAAAAGAGAAAGTCAAGAATCGTATGAGTTAACAACATACCAATGGATACCAAAAATCGATGCAGGTGTTCTTGCTCTGAGCAGAATGAGAACCGATTTTCTCTGCGCGATGAGTGTTGATGTTATTATCAGTAGAATGATTTTGTTCTTTTTCCAACAATTTGATGCTCTTGTGGCTCAGGGCAAGTGACCCATCATTGTTTCTAATGGGTTGAACGGCAACTCGACTTTGCCTACTAAGAAAATCATTTAATTTGTTTAGTTTATTGTTATCATTAAACCGAGCAGATTGGTGTCCATTTTGATGTACAAGAGTGACACTTGTGTGAATGTCATGAAGTCGATTATTTTGCTGATTTACATGTTCATCGATTTCATTATTCTGACTAGAGAGAAGTTTTTGTCCACATACACGGCGAATGGTAATGTAGCTCTGAACAAACTTAGTTTGGTTTGCGTTACAAAATGAGTCAGTGTCGCTGGTCTTGAAAAATAACAACTCATTTGGATTGCCATGTTTTGTCGAGGCTGAATAAGACTTCGTAGAATTGAAAGACGGCTGCATGCTTTTTGACTTTTTCTTAGTAATCTCATGTGATAAATCTACGTATTATTTTCAAGATATGCAAAATTTGCATTATGCGTTAGTTTTATTTGGTCTATATAAAATAAGTCTTCGTGTAATTGGAAAAAATGCAGGCATACCATGACAGAACAGTTCTGCGCGCAACACCTCTACGACAAAAGAATGTTTCTCTTTTCTCTTGGTGTGAAATTAATATTTCTTCTAAACTTTTATTAACTGTCCTATGGGATTACTTTTTCGGTATCA